AACGCACTGAGAGGCGGCCAGATGCGCTCACCGGCCTCGGTGCCAGGGACCACCTGCAGAGTCTAGGAGTCCCAGGACTCTGCTGGGACGCGCTCGTACCGTGGAGGACAGCACAGTCGTGTGCACGACAGCCTTCGACAGTGAGCCACTGACTGCAACAAAGAGCACTGACGCCAGCGATGAAGGTTGTTGGGTGGGACATTACAAACGGACAAAATGACAGGGAGAACTTGACCCTAATTTACACACAGGTATGTGCTGCAGCCTACCCTGCCTCTCTACGTAGCTGCAAGCCGAGGTGCACACGCAATGCTAATAAAATACAGCTCAGGCAACACCTGGGTCCCAGGGAGCTGACCTCTTTCCCGGGGCCTGCTGGGCTGCCTTGTATTCTACAACCTGGAAAACACGACAGTGAAGGCACGTCTCTGTCCCCAGCCTTCCACAGAGAAGGGTCCGCTGTGGAGCTTCTGTGGAACCTCAGTATTCTTCAAGTCTCACGCACACACACCGAACGAAACTCACAAAGAAACAGATGACTGGTATAACTGACCGTGTTTTTTATTTACAAAGAATCATTTTTATTTGGCCATTTGGAAAAGCATGAACGTTTTTCACTTTAGAAAACATTAAATAATAAACAAGATGTGTACAGTACTTTGGATAACTCCTTCCATCAGTTTAGTGCAGTGAGCATTGGCACCTACGAGTGAGACGTCCCATCATCTCAGACCCTTTCACCTTCAGCTGCGGTTTACATGACCACCGAGGAAACGAACCATTAAGAACAGATGGAAGGCCACACTTCCTGCCTCTGACAAAGGCTCGCTGACATTTCCCTCCAACGCCGCCTCTACCGCGTTAAATGACGAGTGATCCCCTGTTGCACTATTGTTCAAAAAAGCATTGTTTTGTGGAACTTGGGAAGTTCTGAGCATCAGAGGAACTGGACAGAAGTGATGAGGGGAGGGCACGGGCGAGAAGGGTTTGACGTGACAGGCTTTCTCCGTAGCCAAGTCAACCTCTCCCACAGAAAGCAGAGAGAACACGCCAGATAAAAATCCCTCTGCAAGCCATTGCCTTGCTAGGGTCTCTTCTAAAAATCCAAAACATCATCCACTGGGTAGTGAAAGGTTGCTCTCTTTAGCAAGAAAAAAAAATATGTAAAGAGCCACAACATCAGGTCATTGCTAAGATGTTAAGACTATTAATATCTGTTCCTCACACTCTTTTTGGAATAAATAGATTTTTGTTGTTTAATGCTTTTTGCTTCAATACTGCGAGGCTTGCCATCAGGGAGAGGCAATTTAGCGAGCTCAGCATCTGGGGGCTCTTCCCCTTTGAGCCCTCTCTGTCAGACGACCAAGAGGGAGATGCCTAAATTAGAGCCTGGTCCAGATGACCTCGTTCTGGGAATCTCGTGGCATGCTAGAAAAGGGAAGAAACGTCTTTGGAGAAGTTTCATAATTCGTCACTTGACTTGTAGGTAATACCTTTACCTATTTTGGAATACATCAACATTTATAGATACTTTTTATAAAGTCAAGATGGGGGGAGGGAGAGATTTTCACACTTCTCTCTCCTTTTTTATAAAGGATTCTAATTTAACAACGGTTCCTGCCAGGAACTGCTCCCTCACGCCCTAACGCTGGCCTGCTTCCTGGCTGTCCTCAGTGCCCACGGAGAACAGCTGGTCACTGATCTCGCTGCACCGGCCCTCACACACACGAACACCACGGGTGCCTTCCCTTCCCTTCGGGCTGAAAAACCCCGGTTCCCGTAATGTTTCTTTAGAGAGCTCCCCTCTCCCCCGACCCTTTACACACCTTTGTGACTGCTGGCAAAAACGGCAGAAAAGAGTTTGACTACTTAAATCAGAAAAAAAGAAAAACCTCAGAGTTTGCCTTTTAAAAGGTATATACTTTAGAATATAAAGGTAGGTGATGCGGGGAAGTCCGCGGACCTTGGAATTCTAATCTCATCCTGCCCCCCCCCCCAGGTGAGCCCCATTCCAGCGCCCCCAGGCCCGAGCACAGGCTGGCTCCCCAGCCCCTCTAAGAGTGTGGTCAGGAGCCCTGACGCTGTAGAGAAGCCCATCTAAAACTTCCTATGAAGGCTGTCCTGGTGGTGCGTCCCCTGGGCTTCCTCTCACCTGCTACCCTAAACAAAACCCTTTCTCCGAAACAACCAGAACCACAAAAAGCTCCTTACCGATGGCCAGGGAGCCATGCCACTGCAGTAGTGAAGGCTGTCAGTCCTGAACGACCTGAAACGGTGAGTTCTCCACGTGACAGAGTTCCTGCAGCTTCACTGCCCTAAATGGCTTACTATCCTTAGTAAAGATCAAACTCGAGGCCATTTATAAAGTCACCACCACCGGAAACCTCTGCTGCGTCCTCTGGCTGCCACGGTAAGGTCACAGGACTGGGTGATGTTTTGCTATGGATGTTTCAACTCGAGAGACCACAAGCTGCTTTTTGCCTTGCGCCTAGAGTCTGTAACCGTCAGGACCACATAAATACGTAATATCACGTGGACACAAACACGATACCACTAGGAGGGCCACGTGCCCACTCTACCTAACCAGACCGAAAGGGAAGTTCAGGGAACGAGAATATATGCACCTCGCTATGTTACACGCCCTTCTTTGATAAAGTGAACAGCAGCACCAGCGGAGTGCCGGGCAGGCCAGAATTAACACGGGGAGCTGACGTCACGTGCACGCGTACACAGCATCCCGGGGAGGTCGCTGCTGCTGGGAACACGGAACAGACCAGAGAACGGCCACGTGCACAGCTCTCTGAAAATCTGTCCCATAATTTGCTCCCACAGTTTGCTCTGAGGAGCGCCCAGCCATCAGGATGATGGTGACATGCCGAAGCCTTCATAAAAGGGACATGGGTGGTCAGGTGACATCCGAGGGTGGCTTAACGTCCTCAGGTGCCTCTGGGTGTCACTGTCCACTGGGATGGCACAGAAGTGGGCCAGCGGACGTGGCGGCTGCCCGGACCTCCTGGCCACTCTCCTGGGCCTGGCGAGGAGGCTGAGAAGGGCAGGGAGGGTTGGACGAGGGAGCAGGTGGGTCCGGCGGGCTGGAGCTCTCAGCGCCCCTCCGCGCAGCGGCCTTTCCTCAAGCTCACGTCGTCCAGGCCGATCTCCCCAGCGGGCCCGCGCCCCTTCTCGCCCTTGAAGGTGACCTGGAGAGAGAGCGCACCTGTCATGGCTCCGCCCCATCCAGGGCCGCCGGGTCAGGCAAGACCAAGGCAGCCCGTCCCGGAGCTGGGCGTCCTGGTCCCGGTACACCGTGGACAGCGTCCCGGCCTGCCCCGGCTTACCTCGGCAGGCACGGAAGCACGTGACCTGGGCGGACAGCGCGTCACCCGGAGTAGGGACTCTGGAAAACGCCCGGGTAAGCCACCCACGAGTTCAAGGCAGGAAGTTTCCAGAGTGCACACGTTTGTCAAAGATGGCCAAGGCCGGGGGAAGACAAGAGGGAGGGACCGGAAACGTGCAGAGAGCAAGAGGCAAAGATCCGGAAGGTTGTGAGCCGCAGCCCGCGGAGACGTTTCTTGGTCCCCCTTCTGGCTAAGACAGCAGTAAAGCCGCAAATGGACCAGAACCGGACCCCCCAGCCATCACACTGTTGAACTCCAGCAAAAAGGCAGAAACGTCCACTGTTCTCGAATTTGACCTTCCATCAAGCATCCCTGCTTGCTTTTTTTAAAGCATGATTTTTAACTTTATTTATTTATTTAAATTTGACCAGAGAGGGACAGAGTCAGAGAAGGACAGAGAGGGAAAGTGAGAAAGCAAGCGGCCAGGTCTGGGGCTGGAATGGCAGCCGGCCACATGGGAGTCCAGCCCTGAGCCACCACACCTGCCAGTCCCCTGCTCTCTTTAAAACAGGAAGGACCTTCCAATGCTATGAAGTGAAACAATTAAATTGTTTTATTTCTCCATACAATTTTTTTTTCAATAAAAATACTGGGTGGAACCAGCAGTTAGCGTAATGGCTATGTCGCTGGACTCCCACGTAGTCGATGGTCAACTGTGGTTTGAGTCCCAGACCAGGTGGCTTGCTTGCTCTCTCACTTTCTCTCTCTTTCTCACTCAGTGCCTCTCTGGTCAAATTAAAATAAATGAATAAATAAATAAGTTAAATTTTAAAAACATATTAAAAAAATACTGGGTGGGGGCAGCAGGTGGCACAGTGGTTAGCGTGCTAGACTCCTATGTGGTCAACTGTGGTTTGAGTCCTGGGCCTGGTGGCTTGCTTTCTCACTCTCTCACTCTCTCTCTCTGATGAGTACACGTGCCCTGTAGCGAATTTAACAAAAATAATAATGATAAGTGAAAAATAAGTAATTCTTTAAAAAAATAATAGTGGGTCTTGGGCCGACCCTCGGGGCTACCAGTTAAGGGAACCAGATGCATGTGGCTGACCACAGTTTTAATCCAAGCATGGGTGGCTTGAGAAATATACCAAGCCAATGTGCTCCTGTGCCCCAAGTCCCAACAGGACAGAGAAACGGGGCAGAGGGGATTGCAGTGACCACACCCCAGTGGTGGCGCTTTCTGCATCTCTGACTCTAGAGCAAGCAAACAAGCCTTCTGGCAATCTGACCCACCAACCCTCAGCGGCCTTGGCACGGTGGGCGGGTGGTGGTGATGGGTCGCAGTGCAGGACTGGGGAGCCGTGGAAGGGCTCACAGACGCAGAGGGGTGCGCCAAGCGTGAAGCGTGCGGAGGGCAGGCCGTGGGTGTCCACGCTGAGCCAGGGGCCGCCCCCCGCCCTGCCGATCTACTTACGCTCCTGACGTCGGCCCCGCGCAAGGTGATCTGCGTGTGCCTCGCGTGGCCGCCGCTCCGGCCCCACAGGGCTGCTCCGTGGGCGCCGGGCCGTCGCACCAACACCTGCAGCGTGCCGGAGCGCGGCCCGGCCACCTTGTGCCTGAACGACAGGCACAGGTCGCCTGCTTGCATGAGGTGGCCGAGAGGTAGCACCAGGCGAGCTGCTTTGCCCCCGGGGGCCTTGGCCGCCACCGTCAGGTACTGCCCACCTGCAACGAAAGGAGGCTGGGGGCGCCGGCCCGGGCACAGAGCGACCGCTGTGGGGTGTGGGTGAACCTCCGCCGGCACTCACTCAAAGAGCTGCGGGTTTTTATGCCTGCCTTAAATGCTTTGGTTTGAGATGGCGCAATCCACTCGCTCACTTCCTCGGGAAGGGTGGAAGCTAGCCCAGGACGCAGGGTAATCAGCCATCCCACCCCACGGTGCTCCCAGAGGGTGTGGACGCTCGGACACACAGACAGTGCTGCCAGGCCGGCGCGGGGGCTGACCCTGGATTTCCAGGATCTCCTGCGTAGTAACTAAAGTCTCGCGATTTAAGAGCACCTGTTTAGTCTCTCCCCTCCACCTTTTTAAAATCTCTAACCACAGAAGGGTCTTTTAAAAGTCAGGTTTTCTGGGCTGCTCATGGTGGGTGTAAGCCTACCCCAGGAGGCAGTGTTCTGGAAACCGCCCCTCCCCCCACGTGGTCTCAGAGCACCGCTACTTGTTTGGAGATAAGTAGTTTTACATTTTCATATGAAAACAAATCTGTAGTATTGTTTTACACATCTATTCTCTTATGTACACATGGACACAAAGTAGTGACAAAAACTTTCACTGGAGCCAGGTCACCACCGTGACATCTTCAAGTCCCTGGGGCTACAGTTCGCTTCTTTCTGTTGCCAGGGAAACTGCAACTTAAAAACAATGTTCAAGGGGGACCAGCAGTTAGTAATGGCTATGTCGCTGGACTCCCATGTAGTCGACCGCAGTTGCGTCCCAGACCCAGTGGCTTAAAACTCACGCCAGGCGCGTGTGCATGCGTGCCCAAGATCCCGAGAGGAGAATGGAGGAGAAGGGATTGCGGTGTGGCCATCCCCCCTGGGGGGTGATTTCTCGCTCTCTGTCTCTGTCTCTCTGGCGAGTGCATGCGCCCTATCCCAAAAACCTCTCCAAAAAAAAAAAAGAAAAAAAACAATGTTGAAGAAGCAGTGAGAGCAGGGGCTGCTGTCCTCGGGAGAGCTGCAGATAGGATTTTGAAACCCAATCCGTGACCAAATGATTGGCCTCGGGCTACCGCATCTCAACCAGCTGAAAGACCACGAGCTTCCACAGGGACTTGGCCGCAGGGAGGTGTGACCGCAAGGCCGAGCACAGGTGTCTGCATGGGGGGGGGGGGGGGGCCCCGCCTGTGGCCCTGACCAGTCGGTGGCTGAGCCGGCAAGTTCCTCACGGAGCTGGCAAAGACACAGGACTCAGGGCCTCCTGTGCAGGTCCCCTCTAGCACACCGCTCTGCACTAGAGCTCACAGGGGTTTGTTCCTCAGCATGGCGACTGCTCCCCACAAGGCAGGGGACACGCAGAGACAGCCCCCATCCTGCCCGACCCTTCCTGTTACAGTAGTACTCCCAGCGGACGGTGGGTGTTTAAGGTCATTTGTTGAATAAACGAATGTAGTCTGAGAACACAACAAAATTCTGCAGGAAAGTAAGTCCTGTCTCATGTACCTGACTCACTTCAAAAAACGCACAATTTCTATCGCCCCCAACCCACCCTCCAGTGATACCAGCAATGTTTCAGTTGCACGGATCTTCAATGTCTCTCGTAAGTCAGCTTTGGTCATCACAGGCTTGCTGGCTAAGGCGAAGAGGTGAGCTCATGACCCCACGATTTCCAGAAAACAAGAGTTAGCTTAAGTCCCTGCAGAATGTATCTTGTATCATTCCCCCAGGAGCTGCCAGCAAACACGACAGCCAAACCAAGGCGTCTAGTGAAAGATACCAATAATCCTCTGTACACGCATTTCAAACTCTAATTTTCTTTCCCTTTTTTTGTGTTTAGGTTTTTACTACAGGGCGTGTGCACTCGCCAGAAAGACAGAGAGAGACAGAGAGACAGAAAGCAAGAAATCACCCCGCAGAGGGGATGGCCACGCCGCAATCCCTTCTCCTCCATTCTCCTCTTGGGATCTTGGGCACTCATGCATGCACACACGCGCGCCCAGTGTGAGTTTAAGCCACCAGGTCTGGGACTCTCCCAGCAATAGATTACATGGCAGCCCAGCGACATAGCTGTTACACCATCTGCTGGTCCCAGCAAAATTTTTTAAAAAATAGTTTTATGATATCTGTGTTGGAAATGCTTCTCAGATATGGTTAGAGGGGAGCGTAAACTGCTATGACTTTTATGAAGGACAATTTAACATCTACCAAAATGCAAAGTACGGATTTCCTGTTGACCTCGTAGTTTCACACCTGGGGGTTTATTCTACAGATACACCCAGACACCTATGAGAGAACAGATGTACGGGGCATCCACACAGTGGTCTGAACTGAAGCTGGACACAACTGTCAGGGAAAGCAGGTTTAAGTATCCTGAGACCCAGTGAGCAGGGGGCAGCGCCGTTAGTAAGAGGTGTCCTGTACACCCGGTGAGCAGGGGTGAAGCAGTCGTTAGTAAGAGGTGTCCTGTGCACCTGGTGAGTGGGGGAAATCGGCCATTAGTATGAGGTGTCCTGTACACCCGGTGAGCGGGGGGAAGCGGCCGTTAGTAAGAGGTGTCCTGTGCACCCAGTGAGCAGGGGGAAGCGGCCGTTAGTAAGAGGAGTCCCATGCAGTGGGAAAGGGCACCGTCACCAATGGTGCTCGCCCGTGTAGTGGGGACTTGGCCAGGCACTGTGACAACGCTCTCCACACCTCTGGTAGATACTGCTGGCTACCCCCTTTTCAGGAACTTGCTCAAGATCAAAGCTGCTAGACAGCAAGTCTGGGTTTTAGCTCAAACATTCTGGCTTCAAAGTCCACAGTCTTCATGCTCACACTTCAGATAGTATCCTTAGGTGACAAGGCAGGATGCAGGAGAGGGTGCCACTGTGTGCAAAAATACAGCTCTGGGAAGATAACCAAGAAACCAGCTGCCTCTGGGGAGGGTGAACGGGATCTGGGAAGATAGGGGCTTTGCATTCGTTGATTTATTTTTCCACTTGCGTGCATTTCAAAATCATGTTTTTAATGCTGCAGGACACACTCGTGTGTACTCGCTGGCATTCTTCTTACGCATTTAAGTAAATTCCTTACGGCCATCAGTGGCAGACAGAGCGCTGAGTCAGCTGCCTGTAACCCTTGTCCTCCAGAGACCAGGGTTCTGGGAAAGGGCCCCAGGTCTAGCCTTGACATCTCCAAGAGCAGGGTGTGTCCTCAGGGCCATGGCCACACGCCTCCAGCACATCACATCCGTCAGCAGCACAACTTTCCATTTCTTAGAAGAATGTATTAATTTCACACCTCAGCATTCAGTTTAAGATTGAATGTGATTAAAGGAGAAAAATAAATAAATTTAAAAATAAAATACAAACCTATTTGGTAGCACCAGGAAAGGCAGTTAGTAAACAAATTTGTTTGCAACTGTTTCTCAAGGTTGTGAGCCCATTTAATAGAGGGTTTTCTTAGAAATATTAGCAAATAAGAATATTTGCAAATCTGTGGGTCGGCCGGTAGCATGGGGGTTAAGACAGCTGGATCCCATATGGCCAACTACACAGTTTGAGTCCCAGACCAGGCAGCTTGAAAAACACACTGGGCACATATGCCCAAGATCCCAACAGAATGGAGAAGGGATTGCAGTATGGTCACCTCCCACCTAAGGGGTGCTTTCTCTCTTTCTCTCTACCCATCTCTGTGTCTCTGGTGAGCACACACCCCTATAGTAAACTTAAATATATATTGCAGATCTCAAAGTTGGATAAGAACTGCACACCATTATAAATCAGTCATAACTCAAAATCCAACCATACTGGGTCATCAGGAAAGTCATGATGCATTTTTCTAGAAAAATGTAGAACATTTATCAAAGTTATTATCTGGATACAAGTAGACAGACGGTTAGCCTGGTAATTGGATTACACAGAAGTTACCTATTAAGTAACCTGTCTTCTTCTCTGGCCTTTGTACATGCTGCCCACATACACACACAAGTCCATGTGTACTTCCTTAGAAGAAAATCGGGCAGGAAGAGTAAGCCTTTGTCTCTTCCCATCAGTGTGAGGCTGGGATTCCCCTCCCGGTCCCGGTGCAAATCTGAGATTCCACCCTGACGCAGGCTGTGCGTTCCAGCCCTTCCTCTCCCATCCTTTTTCCAAGCTAGAACACCACTCATAAATCCCCTTGGGATTATCTGGGGCATTCCACTCTGAATCAGAGGCTTTTCAGGCTGGTTTAAGTGTTCCGAACCCAATCCTGACACAATGCTCTAAACCCTTGGACCACACCTTGCCGAACTTCACCAGCCACCCTCTTCCCTGTCAGTCTGCCTTCTCCTTCAGGCGCTTGGAAAGCCTACTGGAGAAGGAACCCAAGTCAAGCTCCTGCCGTTTTCACTCTGTGACTTTACTTCTCATCTCTGTGTGGAGAAACAGCTCTCATCCTGGTTCATTATCTGTCAAGTAGCCTGCTCCAGTATTTCTTCTCCAGGCTACACACTTTGGCCTCTTCACCTGCTTTTCAGAGGTTTCGAGACTTCTTTCCAGACAGTCATTCTCTTCCGAGTGACTCAGTTAACTCTGTTCTGAGATGGAAAGCGCCCTGACCAGTGGATTAACTACTTAACCGAAGTGGATTTTTCCATCCTGGGAAAGTTCATGTTCTATGGAAATGGCCATTTTTAGCAGCAACCTCACAGGATTCACTCACACGGATTTCACGGTGCACAAAGTCCAAAGCTGTTCATGCTCAGCGCTGAGTCACCCCTTCCTCGCCGCAGCTGCGTGGCTGGTCTCCAGACCAGGAGCCGTATCTAGCATCGGTCCCCATTAGATTTCGCCCTGACTGTGACCCATGAGTCTAATCCAATCTGGATGCTGGCCGTGTCCTCAACACCGTCACTTTCCTCTCCAGCTTTGAGTCAATCATCAGCCACAGTTTGAGCCATTGGTCTTCCATGTCCAGGCTCAGTATCCAGTACATCCAAGCTGTTGTCAAAAACTTGGATCCCCTTAGGAGGCTGCCGGAAAGCCATAAAATCTGCATCTTCACAAGGCCCTAGCTGAACCATATTCATGCTGAGGTTTCAGAAAAACCAGTCTAACTTCTGTGTATTTTGTACTCTGTTTATGTGTGTGTGTGGGGGGGGGGCAATATATGGTACGGCATTTAAAACTAGGTCTTTAAAATTAAAAAATAATAATAGCGACTTTCACTTCTTATATTTTTTTACTTTCAGAATCTAGAATCAGGAATATAAAAAGGAAAAGAGAAACTTAATTTCTCACCTTCTCAGTAGGTTGGTCCCACCAATAAAGGGGAAAAACCAGCATTATGCAGCTTTCATTCCTGAATCTAGAAAGTGAATCTTCTTTCAAATGTCAACTACCGAAATTTGAATGGGAACAGGTGCATTTTAAAAGTCTGCTAATTTCCTAAGGGGCTATGTCTAAATCCACCTTTCTTTTCTTAATTTTTATTAATTTTTAAAAATTTTTGTAAAGCAAAATTTACAGAGCTTTTTTCTTTTGGGAGAGGTTTTTGCAATAGGGCGCGTGTGCTCACCAGACAGAGAGAGACAGAGAGACAGAAAGCGAGAAATCACCCCCCACGGGGGATGGCCACGCCGCAATCCCTTCTCCTCCATTCTCCTCTCAGGATCTTGGGCACGCACGCACATGTGCCCGGCATGAGTTTTAAGCCACCGGGTCCGGGACACGAACTGCGGTCGACTACATGGGAGTCCAGCGACATAGCCATTACGCTAACTGCTGGTCCCCAGAGCTACTTTTTAACAGAGAACTTTACATTTTTTTTGTCTGTTCAGTGTTTCTCCCCTTTGCCTCTCCCACCCTCTCCCCTCCCTTAGTGTTTCTGGAGCGATACTTATCCTCTCTACTATCATACCTTCATAAGTCCACCTTTCTAATAACTCCTCTTATGGAATAAGCATTGGTTATTTATATTTTCTCCAGCATCCAAGTTAGAATCGATTATTATTATTATTTTTAATTTGCCAAAAGCCGGAGAGAGACAGAGAGAGGGAGGAAGCACCTGCCTGAGGGGAACAGTCACACTGCAATCCCTCTTCCTGTATCTCTCCCTCTTTCGGGGGTTCTGGATGTGCAAACGCCAGCCATGTTTCTCAACCTGCCAAGTCTGAGATTTGGGCCAACCACCCTAACTACCATGCCACTGGCTAGCGTAGAGTGAAACTTTTTTCAGAGATAATCACAACTTTATAGAAGTTTCCACTGTCTCTTACTATGTTAAACAATAATCAGAAAGAAGAAAGAAGAAAGAAGAGAGAGGGGAAAAAAAAGAAGAAAAAAAAAGGAAAGAAGAAAGAAAAGAAGAGGAAAGAAAAAGAAAGTAAAGGAAAAAGAAAAAAGAAAAGAAAACAAAAGAAAAGAATAGGAAAGGAAAGAAAAGGAATGAAAAGAAAAAAGGGGGAACCAGCAGTTAGTGTAATGGCTATGTCGCTGGACTCCCACATAGTCGAACGCGGTTCACGTCCCGGACCCGGTGGCTTAAAACTCACACCAGGCGCGTGTGTGTGCGTGCCCAAGATCCCGAGAGGAGAATGGAGGAGAAGGGATTGCGGCGTGACCATCCCCCTGGGGGGTGATTTCTTGCTTTCTGTCTCTATGTCTCTCTCTGTCTGTCTGGCGAGCGCACGTGCCCTATAGCGAAAACCTCTCGAAAAAAAAAAAAAGGAAAGAAGAAAAAAGGGACATCAACAGAAAAGAACCAGGGCCTACTACCACGGCAGACACACCACTATACTACCTTTTAATTCCTGGAAATGGGGCACTAAAAGTAACTTGAAAATTATAAACTGGAATGAATATAAATGTTTTATTTGCCAAGCCTTCTGAGAGAAATTAGCTGACCTTTTTAATTAATGTCCTGTCTCCCAAAATAAAATGCTGGTTGATAGCTGACAACTTTAGCTCACCTAGAGAGATGGGATATAAGCACCAGGAATGACCCTGTCTCCCCATTCTCCTCTTCCTAGGCAGTGACCTTGTCCCCCACCTCCCCCTTCCTGGGGAGTGAGCAGAGACACAGAGACGTAACTACGCGCTGAGGTGCAGGACCAGGGTCTTCAGCAGGGCTCACACTCAGTGTGCACCAGGAGGAGTGGGGCGGGGGTTTACCTGCCGGGTCCCTGATCGGCTCCCAGTGCAGGCCACTGTCCTTTTCCCTGACCCAGCCACAAAGTCCATGGTCAAAATTGCAGCTGTGCACCAGAACACCTGTGGGGAAACAGCCAGAGAGAAACCACCCTCAAGTTTGCAGACGGGGGCATGAGCACGGACTCTCCCCAGTCCCCACTTCACTGTCCCAGCAGAACCTCCTTCCACGCGATGAGAGGAATTCGCGTCGACCTCTGTCAGCACCACGGTCGGCTGTAAAAACAGAACATGCAGGTGCTGCCGGACTACGACCGTGTCACATCGTCCTCCATAAACACGGGTTCCTTCCCAGGGTTTAAAGCTACTTTAATATACTTCGTAGAAGAAAATGCTGATTCATAATTATTTTTGTTCCATCGATTTAACTAAAGAGAAACTGAACTGTAAAGAAAAGATGTGCGATTTCCCCGAATGCGAATTTAAAAGTTATCCTCATGAAACAGAGAAAGGGGAAACCGCCACCACAACGCAGCGTCTACCTGGGTCATCCCTCGCCTCGTCGTCCGCGCTGACTCCTCTTTCAATCTCGAATGTTTCAAACAAGTCGTTGGAAGGCTGCCGTGGAACTGCAAGAGACGGGACTGGGGTCAACTGGTTTTTCACGGAGTACTGATGAAGAGGCATTTCCTTCAACAGGGGGCCGAGGGAGCAGACCTGGCATTTCAGATTTCATTACATTTCACGTGAAGTATGTTCTGCAGTGGCTTATTTATTTATTGGGGCACAATTTATAAAGCTCATTTTTAAAAAATTATATGCTATATGCTGAGAGAGGAAGCAAAGAGTTAGCATTCATTCATTCATTTATTCATTTATATTGCAAGAGGGCGTGTGCAGTCACCAGAAGGAGACAGAGAGACAGGGAGAAGAGAGATGGGGGGAAAGCACCCCACCCAGTGGGGCGTGGCTATGCCGCAATCCCTTCTCCTCCATTTCTCCCTCCTTTTGCAATTCCAGGCATACATACATTTGCATCTGGTATGTTTTTTAAGTCTCCAGGGCCAGGATTTGAACCCTGTGTTTGGCCATGTGGGATCTAGCTCTCTTAACCACTAGCCTATAGATCTGACCCAATAAATGGTTTTCAAAGTTTCTGAAATTCAACCTGGAAATAAATTTAAAAAGTCTTCATCTGGAAAATACAAAATAAAAGACCGGCCCACGCCTAGCATAATATTCACCTTTATTAAAGCCCCAAACTCATCTCTATAAAGATATGTACTTACGATATTCACCTTTATGAAAGTCCCAAACTCATCTCTATAAAGATATGTACTTACGGACTTGTAGGCCATTGACCTGGAAAGGCTTCAAGTGCAGAAAGCGCTGGGTTTCTAATCACGACCCGACGCCCCTGACTCCCCCGACCCTCCGGAGAGCTCCGCACAGCCTGCCCTCCCACACATGCCCTTCCAAAGCCCCCCTTGCTCACGCAGGGGACCTGGCGCCTTGCAGATCAATCCCAAGGTCTGCAGCAGCGTTTGCAGTCCACCCAGCTAATGCAACACCGTCCAGACACGTCATTCATCTTCCCTCCCCAACCCAGACGCTGACTTTACTGCTGAGGGAACTGCCAGGCTTCCCTCTTCCTTCCAGGCCCAGCCTAAATATCACTGCCCCCGTGGAAACAGCCTGCCCTGGGCAGCGTTAAGTCCTTCCCCTGGACTCCAACAGCACGTGTCGACACGCCTGTTACACGCGTTCGTAAACAGCAGCAGAGATTTACACACTGGTGTTTCTGCCCCCCCTGTGAGTCTCTGAGGTGCCAGAGGGTGCCCATCCCTCTTATTCATGTGACACGTCCACAGCTTGACCTGGTGACACTCGGTAAATGCTTACTGAGTGAATGAAAGATACCGTTGGGAGCCATGCTCATGGTCAACACTTTCCTTCAAATGACACTAGTGACAGGACAGCTTAAGAATCCACTTTTTAAAATAACTGATTCATTTAAATCATTTATTCATTCAACGTATAGTTGATCGCCACCAGACACCAAGCACTGTGGCAGGTACCACGGACCCGGGCTGAAGGCGCGGGAGAGCCCAACCTGCACTGGCTTTTACACCTCGATGCCAGTGGGAAGCAGAGACAAGCACGGAGGTGAATGAATGTTGTAATCCTCAATTTCGATAAGGACTAGGAAGGGGGAAATGCCAGAAGATGTTATGTGGAGTAACAGGGCTGGGCTCGAGGAATGCTTGGGTGCCGGAGGGATGAGATTCTTGGCCAGAGGCCAGAAGTACTCCCCTCTCTGTGCCAGACTTCGGTTAATTAGCTCTGTTTTTATAAGGTGGGGAGTAAAAGATGTGGAACAACACAAAACAGACCGAAGTCAAAGGTTCTTTTTTCAGTGAGGTTCCTATTATTTTGAGCAAGAATATTTTTTAATTAACAGTCCCACAATTTCAGTACTAATTGTTTTAAGCTCTGAGTTTTTTATCTTTCTGTTTCAAAAATCAAAATAGTGAATGACGCCTATTCCCCTCTCTAACACGCACTCACACATACCTAGCGGGAGGGAAGAAGTGAGTCAACAAACAGGTTCCAGGGACTTACCTGATCACAGGTGCCGTAGGCCACGGCAACCCATCTCCCTCACACCCCAGTGACTGACAGACAGCAGTGCCACCCAATCCCGGCTTCCCTTTCTTCAATCTGAGGCTGTGAGTAGGGGAATGCCTGTGTTATTTTCTAGAAATATTACAAAATCGTAGGCCAGCTTGCTTTACTTTTCACGACACAGAGAAAGTTAGAAAAACTCCAGGAACAATTGTGCATTTGTCCCCTTCTTTTGTTGTAACGTATAACAATTTTCTCAGAAATGAAACAGCTCGATTCTGCAGAAGCACAGTCCACCCCCTGTTCCCAGGTGAAGGAGTCAGATAGCGAGCAGTGTCACACCAAGGTTTCCTGGCACAGGGGAAATGGAGAACGTGGCATGTAAGGAGAACGAAGAGAGAGGAAGGGACAAGGTCACTGTTTGGAAAGCTGCAGCCCAAAGAAGGCGTCACCTCTCAGCTTGCAACGCCTCAGAGGCTCATCAGTACCCTGGGCAGGCCCACCTGGAGGCTCAGTTTGTAGCAAACAGAACTGCAGTGCTGGAAGCCACACGCTGAGCACGGGTTCTGATCCCTGGGTCAGCCTGAAAATGTGCCAAGCGTATGCACATGTGCCGGGACCCCACGGGCAGGAGGGCTGGGCAAGGGGCTGCAGTGAGACGAGCCCCTGCTGAGGGCGCTTCCTTCTCTGTGTGTCTCTGTCTCTGTATCTCTCACATGTGAACACACACTCTATCCGGAGTGAAATAGACTGTAAAACAACTTCAGGTACTGGGTTTCCAGGAACTATCTAAGTTAGCGGTGGGTGACCATGTCCCCACTTCACGGTGTCCACTGGGAAGCACTGCACGAACGGGAGACTGAAGGTTGTCCTCAACCTTAGGATCTCCACGCCTCAACCCTGCCCAGTGATGCAACCAATGCTCCCTCCTCAACGCTCTCCAGGATGGGGCCAGAGCGTCCCGCCGCAGTGTGGGAGGAAGGTTCACTGCACACCCTCCGTATTTCACAGTTTATGAAGACACTCAGTGAAATAAGCCGGAGAAAAGGTCACTCAAGCAGCATTAGCCTATAATCTGAATTATGTACAAGAAAACCAACCAACCACCCAAAAAGCCAGAAAAGGAGAAGAAATACACCAATATATCAATACACTAGTAGTGGCAGTTTAAGTATTGGAAATAAATGATTTTTTCCCACTTTTTTATTCACTTTGTCCTTTGTAATTCTCTATTTTAATACTGTAAATTTCTGTGAAAAGAAAAATTTTAATGATGAACAAAATCCTAAATAACTAAAGAGCTCTCTGAGCTCATGTACTGAGGAATTAGGTGTCTGTTCTTTACGTTTTGACTGCTCAAAGAGAACTGTGAATAGTCTTGAGACCTGCTGTCAAATGTTAGACGACTGAAATAATGTTGGTAAAACTCAAAAAACTGAAATACGTTTGCGAAATTCAAGCATATTTTGATCCAAGGGGGCCATTTGATCAATGTGGAGAGCAGCCAATCTGAAAACATGTGATTAAAACATGTGGCCTGAAGACACATGCAGATGCGCGGAACTCTAGCAGGGCTATGGGAAGCCATCTACATACGGAAGCAGCGCCTGCCTGCTGTCAACGGCTGTCTTCCTGTTGTTGTTGATTCCCCAATGCCCCATACTGCCCAGTATCTGGGCTAAAGGAAGTCACAAGCGTTTATCAGACTGTCCCCCAAAAAGATGAGAGAAATTATATGGCACCAGTCATTCTCACATCTTCAGCCAGTTTACACCCCAAAACAACTGGCTTTGCATCCTGATTTCTCCTCCCTTATTCTCTTTGCATTCCACTTCCTTCTTCCTCATTCCTTTTACATCCCATTCTCCCCTTCCCCCATTTCCTGCCCTATAAAAGAATAAAGCTGAGGCTGGTTCTGGTCGCAACTTCTCCATCAGAGAAGCTGTGCCCACCCGATCCTCGCTTTTCTATACCTGTGCGTCTATTTCTAATCTGCAGCCTTCCCCACTCAGAAAGATGTGTTCATGCCGAGCTGGTCCCGGAAGATCAGTGCAGAAAATGTTAATTAAAATAAATGAAGGTCTTGTCTTAAAACGAAGTATAACCAGAATGGATGTGGATACGTGGTCTTTCTATTTGCTCTTTCCTGTTTCATGATGTGGCTAAATCGAATTCAAAACATAGTAAGCATGTTATGTAAATGAACACATACCTGATATTCTCTGTAGCTGAACCATGAACTCTTACAATTAGAAGGGCGTAACTTTAGAAAGTAAGACGGATAAGCCGAGGACCCTGGCTGCACACACACGGGAAGGTACCTGTCCGCATCCTAGGGCATCCCTGTGCCCAGCGGGCATGTGCATGCACCTTTGATCTGGGCCACCTCAGGCTTGGGTGGACTGAAGTGTGAAAAGCTTGTTGGAGTCCCCCTGCCACTGTCTCTCTTTCTGTTTCTCTCCCATGGAAAAAATTAATTTTTTAAAAGGATAAGACAGATGATAATGGTACAATTCCTCGACTATCTTTCCACCTGCCCTCCCTCCCTCTTTTCCATCTGCTCATTTAAACAACCAGTCAAGAAACAGCACCAGCTGGGAACGAGGCCAGAGCCCAGAGCCCAGAGCCCAGAGCCTGCTGTGAGGCAGTGAACACACTCCTGTTTTCATGAAGGTCCTAAAGTGAAGACAGACACGTAGCCAGTTCCCCAGGTGTGAGTGCTTTAAAGAAGCAGAAGAGCCGTGGAGGACGGGGTTGGGCAGTGGGGCTGCCAGGCCCGCCCCGGAGCGTAGCTGTCGTGCAACCCCTCCACAATGTGCACAGGACACGTGACTGCGAGCGAGGGCTCTGGAGAGAGACAGCACAGGGCGGAAAGCGGGGCAGGAGGCCGGGGTGGGAGAAAGCAAGTGAGGCTGGGCTGTGTTTCTGTTGAGGAGACTGTCGTGACTGCAGGGATGACGGGGACAAGCTCAGCGCAGCAGGACTGACAGCTGCCGGTACCGAGTTCATCAGTGCCAGTACGGGGCGGGGGTGTTCACACCTCCCCCCCATCCAGGGCTCGCAGCACTGAGGCCAGTACTGTTATTATCTCCAACTCGAAGAAACGAACGAGGAGTTAGTAACGTGCCCCGAGCCCCAGAGTGGCCCTGAGCACAGTGCTGTCAATCATAACTCCACAGAGGAATGTGCATGTAACTTTAAAAAAAAAATCTGATTTCTGACTTTGGTCACATTCACCAAGAACTCAATTTATACTTTCCAAAGAGAACTATGTTTTCTTTACCAGCCACCATAGGATCCAATCAAAATATAAATCAAAAATCTTGAAAACGTTCAGAATTCACAGCGTACACCCCGACCTGTGAAGCAATAACTCGCTTCTTCCAGGCTCTGGAAGACGCGTAATCCTCAGGCAGGCGGCGGGCAGCTTCCCGGGTCTCCGCAGGCCGTACTGTTTACTAGAGAGCAAACTAGTTTGAAGACCTTTCCACCTCTCAGCAGAACTGATCTTTTTACTCATCACCGCACAGAATCAGAAACAGACCAGATTATTTTCGTGACTACAAACAGCGTGTGGAACGGGCTGCAGACTGTGACATCGGAGAAGGGAGCGAGGGGAGGACCCAGGACGGCCTGCAGCGTGGCCACGTCGGTAGGGGAGGGGGTCTCATGGCTGGGTACTCGGGAGACAGCAGCTCTGGGGCTCTGAAACAGCACAGCAAGGAGGCACCTGCAGCAGATTGATTACACAGACCACCTCTGGCTCCGGTAACACCTTCCTCCTGTCTCATATGGCCAGGTGGACACAGGCCTGCTCTCGCCGCACCTCACACACCCCCACCTGCCAATCTATCTCCGTCCATCTCGGCTCTGCGGGCGGGGCCTGCCGGGGGTGTCCACAGCCCTGCTGCCAAGGCTGGGTCTGCACAGCAGTCGCGGCGTCATCTAAGATGTGCCTGTGAAAGGCAGAACCTCAGGGCCCACCTGGACCCCTGAATCAGAATCGCGCTTAACAAGCTGCCATGTCTGTAGACACACGTAAGACAGAGACGCACTCTCCCTGAAAAGCCTGATACGAAAAATGTGTTTTAGGAATCAGGAATCCACATCTTAAATCAGCATCCTAGGTTATTCTGGTTCAAACAGGCTTCTGACAACACTTTTTGAAAACAAAACAAACAAACAAAACTCCTAATTCCAAGTAATATCTTTTCTGCGATAATGTGAGGCCACTTGCCAGAACTGGACATACCCAACACACTCAAGTATAAAGGACACTTTGAAAGGTTAAAACCAGAAGTTAATGAGACCTGGAGTGAACTTTCTTTAAACGAGTATGTCCAAAATAAAAGGAGCATGATTAAGAATCAAGAGTCCCCTGGGGTGGTTTTTCCAAACACATAACCAGCTCCCTACTAGGGAGGGAGGGATTCCATTCTTACTTCCCCTCCTCAGCAGGTGGCTGTGGGGATTGCATGCTATCAGTGACAGTGAGGAAGCAAAACGACCACGAAAATCACGCCAAGTACCAGAACTGTCTACACCGGGCTATCTTGTGGTCGTTTTCATCCAGACTTTTCTATCCGCCTAGACATATGAACACGGGCTGCACGGTTTATATGTTTGCATCTTCTTTTCACTTACACCTTCTATAACAAGAGCCTGTCCTAAGTTATGACTAAATGTTTTCCAAAGCAGCTGCTGTTCGTAGGTGTGAGGATTTCAGTCTGTTGCTCACCAGAGCACACTCCCCTCTTCCTCTCCTTAGGATCTGCCCACTCTTCTCTCTGCTTCAAGATGTCTCTGACCTCCCTGGGCACCAGAGTTCCTTCTGTGGTGCCCCTCAGTCCCCTCCTCTGGGTCCATACAGGCTAACTGCCGTTCCTATCTAGATCTCTGGTCTAGATCTGCCCAGCACCGCTCTGCTGCCTACACTGTGTCAGAAGAGAGTGACCACAACCTGAAACGACTCGATGGCCTCGAGGGACCACCAGAACCAGAGTAAACCAGCGTTATTAGTAGTCTAGACATACAAAGGCATTCTTTAAGAGGATTTTCTAAAAAACTGAATCTAATCTATAATTCTACACTACTATTTCTAAGAGCCCAAGAGGAGAATGGAGGAGAAGAGATTGTGGCATGGCCATCCTCCCTGGGGGGTGATTTCTCAGTTTCTCTCTGTCTCTCTGGTGAGTACATGCACCCTATAGCAAAAAATATCTATCTCTCTAAAAAAAAAAAAACCAAAACCACAATATCTCTAAGGTGGTCTCTAAGAAAAGATGAATGAAACAGGGCCAAGCCCAAGAAAGAAACAGCTGTCACTTCCCAAAGGCTTTCTTGAGTACAGAGTATGGGATTTGGTGCAAATGGCCACTGTGTCACCTACCGTGGGGATCTGACACGTTAGAGGGCTGTAAACTATTCCACACATGCAGGTTAAATATAAGACAGACTGTCTCGTAGTCGGGCGGGTTATTGGAAAGGACTCCAGTCTCCTTGAGAGATGCTGGTTATAACTGGGGTGATTTAAGAGACTCATAAGTGCATTACATTCGAATAATTACTTTATGTCAGTTTAGATGAAAGTTTAGGCCCCAACTTAAAATACCAAAACCCCATGTTATAACTATCATATCCAACCACTTCAATAATGTCTTTGCTGTGTATACCCTTTCCTTTTGTAAACAGAGTAGTAAGACACAAACTCCAGTATAAATGGTACTATATTTATATTTATAAGAAACAATGCTTAAGGAGTTGTTTTAAAGAATTATTTCATTTAACTTTATTATTTATTTTTCACTTATTTTAATTTGGCCAGAGGGACAGAGTAAGAGAGTGAGAGAGAGAGAGAAAGTGAGAAAGCAAGCAACTAGGTCCCAGACTTGAACCACAGCCAGACATGTGGGAGTCCAGGGCACTTAACTACCATGCCACCTGCTGACCCCGGGAGGTTTTTTTTTTTAATCTTGCCTTAAAAACATGTACACTTTCAACTTCTAAAAATTAGAAGGATAAATTAAAATGACTGAACTAGTTACTTGAACTATTGATAGTTTCAAAAACCGAATTGAGATTTCCATTTCATTAACACTGACCCATTTCACCATAGAAACATTAACATGCTTCACTGTGTAAAATATGTATGTTATTACTTCTCGAAAATGTAAAAAAGTCCACGAGTCACGTGGATAAAGGATTTGGGATCTTACTCGTAGGGGGATGGGTTGGACCAGAGTGGCAGCACCGAAAATGGGGACAGTGGTCCTGTTTTCAACTTGAGGGAGGGCCAACAGGGTGTCCTTACAGACTGGATATGGGTATAAAGAGTCATTGAGGGTGAGGCCACATTACTTGACCTTAGCAACAGGTGCTGGAGGTTACTTGGGGTCACAGCTGAAGACAGAACATGGCCAGAGGAAGAACAATTTCAGACTTGCTGGGTTTGAGATCTAGTGTTCATGATGCTGACCTGAGGACAGCAGAGTGATCTGAATAGCGTGGTTACTTAAGAGTCCACACCGGGGAAGCCCACCGTATGATCACTGCTTTATCTTTGTAAGCGTAATGGCCGAATGAGGCCTGCCTGGCACTCTGAGCGTACTCAAAACTGCTCATAGAGTGAACAAACAAGCACTTAGACTAAAGGCAAAATGGGGCCAGGGCCAGCCAATGACATGGTGGTTTAGGTGCTGCATTCCTATGTGACTGACCACGGTTCCAGTCCCACACCCAATGGCTTAAAAAATCACACCAGAGTGCCAGCAGCTGGCATGGTGGCTAAGGCACTGGACTTCCACATGGTCGACCAGTTTGAGCCTCGGACCTGGCGGCTTGCTTTCTCACTTTCCCTCTCTCTTGTTCTCTGTCTCTCCCTGCTGAATTAAAGAGTAATAATAATAATAAATGAAATTAAATAAATAATCTTTTAAAATCATGCCAGGAGTGTTGGGTGCATGTCCATAATCCTGAGCAGAGAAGGAAAGAGAAGGGATTGCAGCATGGCCATCGCTCAAGGGGTGATTTCTCACTTTCCCTCTCGCTGTCTCTAGTGAGCACATGTGCCCTATGGCAAAACCAAAAGAAGAAAAAGTGCCGACATTTCTGCGACTTACTGAACACATCTCCTCTGGGCTTCTGCGGGTCTGTCTGTATCCTGTTGCCAATGGTCATCCCTCTTGGAGAGGTGCTGGCAGCCGGCACTGTAGTTGCCGGTGTGGTGGGCCTCTCTGGGGTTGGCAATGGTGCCAGGGTCCTGAGCTCTGTTAGGGGTGGTGGTGGTGGTGGAGAGGGCTGTGGTGCTGGCTTTGATGTAGGTCCCGCCGTTGGCCTGGAAGTGGGCCTGTTGGTGACAGGGGGCGCGTAGGGTGTCTCCAGAGGCCACCTAGTGCTTCCAACATCAGGGATCCAGTTGCTTTGTCCTCCATCACCCTTTAAAATGGTGCCGTTTCCCTTCGGTGTGTGAACTGGACCTGAAGGCTCAATCATGACTCTTGGAATATCTGAAAGAGTCAAAGACTTAAATTAGCAACACTACCTAAAAAGTGAAAAGTGGGAAAAAAAAAAACGGCGTATAGAAACGACTTATGCCAATGAGCCTTACTTTTCACAATTAGACAGTCTCATGCTGTAAGTCACGCCGTGTGTGTGTGTGTGTGTACATAGGCATGATGTATACATGTACATACATTCCTCTCTATACCTATTATCTGCCCGTGGGATCCATGCAAAAATATGCTGGTGTTTAATGAATATGTATTAATGGAAACAGAAAAGTTTTAAATACTTGTGAAGTAGAAGCAGACAACAATCAATGCAGTTTTTTAAATGCAAAGATAGTCTAAGTTGTTTGATATGAGAAGTGTCTAGGTAAGAGTCTAGATGTCCTTACGCTGCATGTATATTATAAAATCACACTTAGAATTATCTAAAGACTAGTCTTTTTCTCACCTATATTTTACATAAATTAAACTCATCAATCAAAGAATTTGATAAAATGTTTGACATGTTATTTTATAGTTGGTTTTTCTCCCAACTAACGTATCCAATATCTTCTTTTTCAGAAATTTTCAGAGGTCCCAAAGATCATCTGTGGAATCTTTTTCTGTGATCGCTTCACCAGAAAGAATAAATGTTAACCTGCCTGGAATGATGCAGTTCTGATGGAATGACTACGCGACCTTTTAAAAACCCTTTCATCGCCATCACTGTATGCCCTAAGGTGTCTAGTAAATATTTTACTTAGAAAATGTACAAATTACCTGCTGTTACATTAAATGTATGCTAAACCGTGGCCTTTGGTTTATAAAACTTTCACCTGGACATTATTTTTTCCCATGTTTTATCTACTAACGTAGTCACTACGCCAAATAAATCTTATAAAAATTTTAAAAGTAAAGCAGACCTGAATGTAGAGGAAGTGAACACAAGATGTTACAGTGTCAGCGAGGGGGCATAAGGTAGAATCTACTCCTACCATCCACAGTCCGAACCTAATGCTAAGAATGGGTTTTATTTCGATAAAAAAAAAATCAAAAGCTTAGGGAAGGCTTTACAATTTCTCTCTAGCTAAAGAGAAACTGTTGAGAGATTTTAGTCAAGAGATTTTGCAAGTATTACCGAGTCTCCAGTTTTTAAAAATGCCTAAGAAGTGATTGTATTGTTCGCGGCAAGGAGACTGGCGTTTTTCAGGCTGCCAATCACACTTTGGAAAACTGGCCTTGCTCCTTATCTCCGGCCACGCCTGTGCGACCCCTCTTCCTCCCGGAGCTCAGAGTGGAGCCCAGAGGTACTCACACACGCACGTCCGCCCGTCGCCGCGGTACCCATCTCTGCACGTGCACGTGTAGGACCCGTGGACGTTGTGACACTGAGCGAAGCTGCTGCACTGGTGCTGACCGAGCGCGCACTCGTCCACGTCTGCACGGGAAGTCGGGCAGGGGCTTATTCAGGGCACAGATACCGACACGGAAGTAGTTCCGAAAAGACACACGCGTGTATATATATGAACGGTTTTTTCTTTTCAATGAAAAGATCACTGTCAAATCAGCAGATAAACAGAGAAAATAAAGCTGCTGTGGACTGGACCACTGCCTGGACGACTCGCCCGCCTGTCTAACTCTGTCCCCTCCCGCCTGGCCCCGCCATCCCGCAGGTGCACCAGGGCAACGCGGCAGGGGCGGGCTGGTTACCGTGACACTGGTATCTGCCCCCGATGTACATGAGGTCGAAGCCTGTGTGGCACTTGCAGATGTAACTCCCGAAGGTGTTGACACACTGCCGGAACCTCGGGCAGGAGGCTCTTCCCGTGGCGCATTCGTCAACATCTGCAGAGGCAGTGGGTGCCCCTTAGAGGCCGCTGCGTGCCCGTTCCCACCCAGCGGGGTTCATGACACGTGCGGCTGCGCACCGAGGACGACACACGTGGTCTCCAGTGGTCGCCCCCCGGGAGACAGCCCCCGTCTACAGATCTCTCGCCCCTCCCCAGTGCTCTTCCTTGCCCCCGCCCCGTCTGAGCGTGTCCTGACCCGGGTCCACGCCGCAGCTGGGGCCCAACACCTGGGGGACCCTTTCCTCCTGACTCTCATCTTCCAGTCCCGTTCATTCTGCCTCTGAAATACTGCCTGAGCCATCTCCTCTGTGCCACTTCCACAACCCCACTCCAAGCCACCGTCTTCTGGGTTAGGCTGCTGCGGTCACCTCCAAACTGGCCCTTCACTGCAGTCTCAGCCTCCACAGCATCCCCACTGGACTGGCAGACGAGTTTATGAAAACCTGAAGGCCAGGTCATTACCTGCTTACACCTCGCAACTGTTCCTCCTCGCCCCGGAATGAAATCTGCTTCCTCCCCATGTCCGCGTGGGCCTGGAGTGACGGCCCTCACCTGCCGGTGGCTGTCTGTCAGCACCGCCCTTCCTTAAGCCACACTGGCCTTTTTCTCAGAGCCTCACCAGGACCAGCCTCCACCTCACTGCCACGTCCCACCATCTTCTCTGCTGCCTGGCGGGCTCCACACGGTGCGTGGTCCCCTCTGAGCTCAGAGCCCCCTGACCATCCAACATCACCCATTCTGGTTCCTTCTCTCAGGACCCCAGGTTGACCCTTTATTGTCTGTCACTGCACCGGCATCTGTGCCTCCTCTGTCTCCCCCTATGCAATATCAGCTTCTCGAGGGTCAAAATCCAGACTGCCCATTATTGTATAACTGGCACTTAGTCACTATCGGGGACACAAAGTCCTCGGGGTCGCCCACATCACTCTGCTCCCTGTCTGCCATGGTTGAGCTCGGCACACAGGGTCTTAATCCTCACAAGGACTCAGGGTTGTGTTATTCTGATTTTAAAGATGAGGAGACCCAGAGTCAAAGAAAGGGAGGCTCTTGCTTAAGCCGGCATATCGAGTATATGGCAGAGCCAGGTTTGAAACCAAAGCGTGACACACACCACCCAGGCCTCCTCTCCTCTCTGCTGGCATCAACTCTGCTGCTCCCCCACTGAGCCCTTCCTGTCCCCCGGACACGGTGCTCTCCCGGACGTCAGAGCCTTCACATAGGTGGGTCCCTTGGCTCGAAGCATCCCGTCCCTTGTGTTTAGAAAAACAAGGCTTCCACAGTCCACTCCCAGACAGGGGTCCTCTCCTGAGCCATCTGATACTTCTGAGGGCAGCTCAGTTCCCGACGTAAGTGACTGCCTCCCCTCCCCCGCCACTTTTCACGTTCTTCCTTCATCCCGTGGCGGCTGACGGGGACGTCCACTCACCCACACAGGTCCTCCCGTCGGGAGCCAGCTGCAGGCCAGGAGCAGGGCACTGGCATCGAACCCGGCCTTTGACCACATCACAGCCATACTGACAGTTGGCCATGGAGCATGTCAGGGCACCTGGAAGGAGAGAGCCGGGCTGACGCAGAGGGAGGAGATGCCGTCCCCGAATGAAGTAGCTTCACTTCTCAGCTTTCCTGAAATCGGGACCGGGACTCAACGTCCTACAGAACACCCCACATCTACAGAAAGACAGAGAGACCCTCCCCCCAAGGAAGATTAAGAAGCAAACCAGCTCTGTCACCACCTGGGGAAGACCTTCGATGCTTCCGAGGAATTAAGAGATGAATGGAAAACTTCATCTCACATAGACTATCAGAAAAATGTTCCAGTGCCCAAGGGAAGTGGAGATTTGAGGTATTTTCCCAGATGACTCAAGATACACCAACAAACTATTTTCTTAATATTAAATTCATGTAATTTTCATTTGAAATTCTTTTTTCAGAAAGGTCCTAGACTACTATACGAGTATGAAGTTTTCAGATTTTGATAAAGAAATATAAAAATGCAGTCAGATGGCATTTATGGTCCAGATGATGGCATGGTAAGTGGGCCAGCGAGGTACCACATGGCCGACTGTACAGTTTGAGCCCTGGACCTGGTGACTTCAAAAGCATGCCTGCCGCATGCGTGTGTGTGCGTGCCCAAAGTCTCAGGAGGAGTAAAGAGAAGGAACCGTGCATGGCCATCCCCCTGGAGTTGCTTTCTCACTTTTTCTCTGTCTCTGTCTCTCCAGCGAGCACGCACACCCTGCTGCAAAATGACAAAGAAGGTGGTATTTCTGAACAGTTTATAACCACTCAACAGACCTGCTGGATTCTGCCTACGCAGACTCCAGAGTCACTATGCCCTGTTCTACCTGGAACAGCCTTCCATGTGCAGACAGAAGAGAACGTCCTGGGAAAATGGCAGAAAATGCACTTAGTGTGGCGTATTCGATCTTGTTCTAAATAACCACTTGCAAATCCATTCAATATGGTACCCATTATACATCTAAAACGGGGCCCCTCATTTTGATTTTTAGCCCCTCAGGGCACCACACGAACATATGAACACACCCTGTGCGGGAGCGCCGGGAGACGCTTTCACAAGGGCGGGCTGTAAAAGCCCAGCAGATGCCAGGCCCAGAGCCCATGGGCAGGAGAGGTTCCCGACGTACCTGAGCAGGAGCCATCGGGCAGGAGCATGTACCCGTGGAGACAGTAGCACTTGTAGCTGCCATACGTGTTCATGCACCTGTGCTTACAGGGCCGTGGCTTCAGGCCACACTCGTTGAGGTCTGAAAAACGTGAGTCCAAGCAGAAAAGATCACAAAATCTCAGAACGAACAGACGACATGTAAATTATTTCTCTATACTGAAAAATGAAGGAGAAAGGAGGCCACGGGCAGTGACCGTCACGCACACAGAGGGAAAGCCTGTCTACGCAAGTCTTGAACGGCTGTGACGCTGGCCTTTCCTAAGGCCAGTTAGGAAATGTGCCCGCCTTACTATCCCGAGGAAGAGCAGCACTCTCGCCTCACGGACAGAGAGTGTCATCGCCTATCGTCTGTCATGGCCTGGCGGCCAATATCCTCCAAATACCTGGGTCCTACTCCTAGTCTCACTCTGGACAGCGTGGTCTTACATTTTTAATGTCTTCTCTCCTCTGTTCAAAGAAGACCCTACATGAGGATAGACAGACTTTAAAACATCAAAGCTATACTTTCAGAGACCTACGAGACACTGTGATCGTTAATGAGGCTTTTGGTAATGCATGCAAGTCACAGAATGGACTTGAAAATAAAAAACCTCTCCAATGTATTTTTCTTCATTCTGCAGTTAAGAAAGACATATGGAAATACTAATAGGCAAAACATAATGAAGTATCATTATGCATTTTAGGTTTATTGGTTTAAATATCAATATGAAATGAATTAATGAATTCCACAGTATGAACATTTTCCAACCCAAGCTCAACACTGCCTCAAGTGAACATAAAACTCATAATGACAAACAAGCATTGAAACAGTAATGCTCAAAATGTAGACTTCATTAAAAAGAAATGTGACCACATGTTTATTTTGTCTGGAACTGCCAGCCTAAGTATCTAATTAGCATAATTTAATTATCTATTAATCCAAGTCATTGAATATAGATAATATATATAGTTACAGAGTTGTTTTCAAATTTAATCAAATTTAAGTCTGACCCACTCGGTTATTAGAAATGATATATTTCACTTAACTAAACCACTAAGTTATGTTTTAAATCACCAAATAATTTTTGTATCTAAAAAAAGGGTTTGTATCTTGCCAATTTTTCCAACTTAGTCTTTTTTCCTAACCTTAACATAAACATAAGCAAAACTGTGGCAGGGCTAAGCTTGGGAAGGTTAAATAAGTACACCCAATACCTGAGTCACCACTTAAGCTTTCTTCAGTTTTCCTACTTAATTTTCTCTTGCCCAGTCGGGGATTTTCAAGACAGAATCACTATTAATAACATTTTTAGGTCCAGAAGGTGAGATGGTGATCCCCACATGGCCAACTGCACGGTTCGCTGTGGGACGCAGTGGTTTGAAATCACACTGGGTACAAGTGAGCGCAGGCTCAGAACCTAGAGGAGAATGGAGAAGCGACTGCAGTGTGATTGTCCCCCGAGAGGCGATTTCTCACTTTCCCTCTTTCTGTCTCTCTCTGGTAAGTGCATGTACCCTATGACAAAAAACCAAAATAATAATAATAATTTTTAAAATTTTCAGGACCAGCAGTTAGCGTAATGGCTATGTCGCTGGACTTCCGCGGAGTCGACCGTGGTTGGAGTCCTGGACCCAATGGCTTAAACTCACGCCGGGCGCGTATGCGTGCGTGCGTGCCCAAGATCCCAAGAGGAGAATGGAGGAGAAGGGATTACAGCGTGGTCATCCTCCCTGGGGGATGATTTCTCACTTTCTGTCTCTCTGTCTCTCTCTGTCTTTCTGGCAAGCGCACGCGCCCTATAGCAAAAACCTCTCCAAAAAAAATAAAAAGATTCCTTGGTTTATTGTTAAAGCCCCACAGGAACTCCAGTGGGAGCCTGATGGGGACTGCTCAGAGGCCAGCAGCTCTAAGCAGATGGACAGGCAGCTTTCTGCTGCTGGGGACCCGAACACACCGAGACACCTCTCTCACAGCCCAGCTTCCGCCAGGACTGCAGGCTGGGTGCTGGTAGCCTCCACTGCCCATGAATCGTGAAAGAATCGTGAAATTGCCTTAAGGATCATGAAACTGAAAGGAAATAAAAACCAATCACCTGTGATGATTCTGAAAACCCTGGCACTCACGCTATGACGTAAGATGGAAGAGGAAGAAAATATGAACAACGCCATGTGTACATGCAGGCGTTTACTGGCTCTTTCACCTTCATGTTACAGTGGCGCGTGCGTGCCCTGACGCGTGGAGGGCAGTGTGAGAAAGCCGATGGGCAGGCTCACGCACCCTGGCTGTGGCTGGGTGATGCCCCCAGTGACGGCATCACTGCC